CTCTCCTGCCCAGGTGTTGTATGGCCGCCCCCTCTGTACTTGTGTGCCTGCCCACCCCCAGTCCTTCTTAGATGAATGGCAGATCAAGGCGGACGAGTGTGACCGCCGTGAGGCTGCCCGGATGGCCCAAGTGACAAACCACTATGACGCCCACGCCCGCCCCCTTCCCAGGTTGGCGGTCGGCCAGCAAGTACGAATCCAGGACCCGACATCACACTGCTGGGACAAGGTCGGGGTCGTCATGGGCTGTGGCGAGTCTCGTTCGTACCAAGTCCGCCTCCCCAGTGGTCGTGTGTGGTGGCGAAACAGACGCCACCTCCGCCCAGTGCCATCCTCTAGTGACGAACCTTCCTCCCCGTCCCCTGTGTCCCCTTGCCCAGACCAGGAACGAAGGTCGTCAGTTGATCCTCCCATTGTCCCTCGCCGCTCCCCCCGACTCATGGAAAAAGAGTCCGTAGCCGCTCGAGATTGCACTACGAGCGTAAAGGGGGAGGGAGGTGTATAGATATGTACATACCAAGATATGTGAACACGCCTGACGCCAGGACTCTTGTTACCATTCATTGTACCATTTATTCACATGTCCGTATTACTACATATTATTATAGCATGTCTGATGTCTATGCTTATGTCTAATGCCTATGTCCATTTACTATGTCCCGATGTACTAGGTCTGTACCACGCTAGTCGAGTAATTAGAAGACCTCATTTATTGTCCTAGTAATGTCTAGCAACTCTCCTTGCCTAGCTAGCTAATTTCCCTCAGATCGGCTCCGGCCTACCTACGGTCCGGGGTCCCTAGTAATCGCTCCTGTATCGGTTGGCTATCACGCCCAGTCTTGTACCACTTGTTGAATATATCTACTGCTCGTGCCCTGGAGTTTCAAGAACCTTGTCTAGGATTACATCCACACCACAGAGAGAAGCATTAGCTTCCCGTTAGCAAGAGGGTTTCACTAAGCTGCTCGAGACATGTGGGGTTGTGAGCCGAGGTAGAGGAGGGCTGATGCCCCAACGATCGTCCTGTCGTCAGCTGGGCACCCAGACGGCTAGATTCCCTCAAGAGATCCTTTGATACCCCGCTAAACAGTGACAGGCCTACACTGATCGGTCCAATGGCGACAATCGCCACCCTCAATCATCAACGGCAGTCTCAAACGGCAGTCAATCTCTCGCAGTCAAACTCCGGTCAAGTGGGTTCTGGCGGAAACCCTGAAATGAACTCACTGTTAGCTCTAGTTTACTTTACCACTGTCCTATCTAACCCTGTCTGAGATCGAATGAGACTTACTTGTTATACTGCAATAGTGCAACACAGGTGACTAGGCCACGTGGCTATTTCTGTGACGGACGCGCAGGGACGTCTTGTTTGTCTGAATGCTCCCCGTGACAGAGAGAGAGAGCCCGCCTCGTGTCCTCTCAAGGCGTTAGCTTAGGCCTACGTGACATATTTTCCGCCTAACTAATAACTCCTTGGGACACCCGTAACATTATTCAGACTGATAAACGATCTATAATAATTTCAAATTCAATAATAGTCCCTTAACTTCATGAATCGCATCATTATTAATTCGGCAAATTACATTTAATATCATATAGGCCTAGTTCCACAAACTCCCACTATGTGTGGGGAGCGCTCTCTTCCCTCAAACGACCTTGAACGCTCAGTATCGCTAATGGCGGGGCATTTGAAATTACTCTGAAATTTCTGAATATTACATATACACCTAGACCCCGACTTACGACTAAGTGGACTTACGACCGTCGGGACTTATGACCGCCGCAGATTTTTTATTAAAAAAAAAAAAAAATAAATAAAAATAAAAAAATTTTCTTCAAATGACACACACATTTTCTATACCGAAATGTTTCCAGTTAATGTAGTCTCCATGTATAATTAGAAAATTATGGGGGCCCCATGTGCATTCAGCTGACTACATTAAAGGTAAGTGCTCATTCCTTATTATTTATTACTTTCACTGTACTGTATCCATTCCTCATTATTCATTACTTTTACTGTACTGTATTTCATTGTACAGTTGTACCCCACTTAACGCGGTCAATTGAACCCAGAGGGTCCCGCGTTAAGTGAAATCCGCGTTAAGTGAACAACAGAACATATGGGATTAATTCCAATAGAAACCGGCCCGACCCCCAAACTCCACTTTTTGAAGGCACATAATCATGTTGTAGTAAAATAACATCTTAATTTTAGTGATGGTACATGCACACACTAATATTTGAGAAATAGAATACAGTCGCTAGTTAATGTCCATTCAAATACCGACCAACCTTGCCTCCTTCCAACCGCGGGTCAGTCCCTAACCCCTCTTCACCCCCACCAATCCTCCTTCCAGGGTTTTAATAGAATATTTTGAATATAAATGTCATATATTTTGCACAAAAGATAACATAGTTAATTTGAGAAAATTTTGTATCTAAAATTTGTATGTCTAATGCAAAAATATGATGTTTATATTCAAAATGATCATCAAATTATAAGAATTCCAGCAATGTAAATTATATTCAGACCGGATAATTTGTATGAATTTTATGAGCTAAACAGGCAGTCAGGCAGGGTAAAGTGTACCCAAAAATAGCATTCAGCCGGACACCACCTTCCATGTATGGAAAAAACTGCAGCTATGAAAGTTCATTTCGGCGCAGGCACGCGTATATGATAAAAACGCTATGAAAAACCGCTATAGCGGGTAATACTGTAGATTATTTATTTATTTGAAAAAAAAAAAATTTTTTTTTATCTATGTCGGACTTACGACCTGATTTAAACTCAACCCCGTCAAGTCGGGTCTAGTATATATAGCAATTCCTCGATTTACGCTAAAGAATGGAATCTGGAGGGTACCGCGAAAGTGAGAAACGCATAAAAGTGAATAACATGATATATGGGATTAATTGAAATGGGAGTCCAGGCCGATCCTCAAACTCCACTTTTTGACGACACACAACTATGTTGTAGTAAAAATATTATCTTAACTTTATGATGGTATGCACACACAATTAATAATTAAGAGAAATATCAATAATATTAGGTTTTTTAACACATTAGAAAAAATGGCTGGGCACACGGGGATGGGCGGTTGGTTCCGAGGCAGAGGGCAGATTATTGGCCCTCACCTGTGTCACTTGTATCAATTGTATCACTATCCACCACAGAGGCTTGCAGGGCCTCTTTGTGAAACTCCCCAAAGTCCATATGAGTCCATATTCTCACCATAATTATCACTATCACTGACTTGGGCCGGCTGTGGTGGGTGGCGGGTGAAGAACTGGTAATGTTTTGATGACTGGGCGACCTTGTGCGCACCATGTTCGCGCAGCTTACACAACATGGCGGATGGCGGGAGGTTTGGATCCAAAAATGGCGCGGCTCGCCAGCCGCTCTCCGCGTAAAGGGGTACACGCACCGCGGAATGTGAGCATCTTGGGTTCCGGCAGGGCACCGCGTAAACGTGGAAACGCGGAATGCGGGACCGCGTAAAGTGAGGGTTAACTATATATATATATATATATATATATATATATATATATATATATATATATATATATATATATATATATATATATATATATATATATATATATATATATATATATATATATATATATATATACAGTATTACCCCGCCTAACGCGGTTTCACTTAACGCGTTTTATCATATACGCGGTGCATCGCCAGAGCTGAACTTTCACTTAACGCGGAATTTTTCATCATATACGCGGGAAGCGGCGCGGGCACGATGCGCACAAGGTCGTCCAGTCATCAAAACATTACCGAGTTCTTCACCCGCCACCCACCACAGCCGGCCCAAGTCAGTGATAGTGATAATTATAGTGAGGATATGGACTTATATGGCCTTTGAGGGGTTTGACAAAGAGGCCCTGCAAGCCTCTGTGGTGGATAGTGATACAATTGATACAAGTGATGCAGGTGTTTATTACGGTATGTTAGACTGGTTTATAATACATTTTTATTATTTTAATATACCGGTAATCTTCATTTTAATCCAGCTTCCCAAACGTAAGTTTCAGTATAAAATAATTAGTGGTACTGTAGGACCTTGTGAGTGGTTTACTGTATACATAAATATTACATAAATTATTTCTGCAATTCTTCACAAACAAAACACATAAATCAATTGAATATGTGATGTCGAACGTAAACTGTAAACACTGTGTATGATGTAAAGAGAGCGCGGGTGTAAAACGCTATGTAATTTGATTTTCTCTTTTATGTAAAATTTTACAATTTACTTATAATATATAGGTATACTGTATACATAAATATTACATACATTATTTCTGCAATTGTTCACAAACAAAACACATAACTCAATTGAACATGTGATGTCGAACGTGAACTGAAGTCGCAACAACCGTTCGAGTGGAATCGCGTTAGAGCAAACGAGTTCGCGTTATACGAATATTGTTCCGAATTCATAAATCGCGTTCGATCAAATTCGCGTTATCAAAACACGCGTTATAGCAGAACTCACTGTACATGTCTATATCGGACTGGCCAGGAATGTACCCCAGTGAAACCCATGTTTAAGGGCTCATAGTTTATGTTACGGTTTTCAGGAACACAACCCCCATCGTAAATTGGAAAATACCTATATATTAAGAAATGCTAAGTTATGTACTCTAAAAATTTGGAAAACAATTCCAATGCATTAATAACACTTAACTGAAAATCATTAGTTTATACCATGAAGCATGATAAAATATATACACAGTACTGTATATAGCTAACATTATTCAAAATATTTAGAAAGTGGTGTAGTCCATATCGCACTAGAGGTGCGTTTGTTAAATTTTTTCCGCTTAGGAAAGATTTGGGTGAGATCAGGTGTGGTGAGAAGAATAGTCGGAGGGAAGATCTCCTCAACCACAGGTCCGGAGTATACTTGGTTGATCATAGCAGCTGTGAGCTGAGATCCTGTAAAGGATTAAACAATAAATAACATGTTAGTATTTCCTTTTAATAATACTGTATACAGAATTGGTACACTGTATATTGACAGTATCACAAGTTGTCACATCTATATTTTTACCAAATTAAATATTTTGATATGACAATACAGTACAGTATTGCATTAAGTTATTAATATCCTATTTACTCAACTCCACTTGTCTATTCTTTAGATGTTAATTAGTTCCCATTAAAAGAGAAAGATTAGAGAAGAATCATTACTTGCATGACAACTTATATCGTTTTCCTTATTTTCCCTACTCTAAAATTATATATATATATATATATATATATATATATATATATATATATATATATATATATATATATATATATATATATATATATATATATATATATATATATATATATATATATATATATGTATATTAATTTTTTTTCCTTTTAGTTGTTCTCCATCAATATAACATTACACTGGTACTACCCAGCCATCTACATCATAAAACTTTATCCTTTTAAAAGTTTTCCCCAAATATTTGCTTAACTATTTCACGGCGGGGTTTCAGCTTAGAAAAATTGTGCTCGCTAATTTATCATTATGGCAGGATTAAAGGCAATCCCTCAAGTTTTGCCATACAGCATGGGCAATATTCTTTGTGTGAATGAGTCAGTGTACTTCATCATGTTGAAGGAGACTAACAGTATGATATGTTTATGCTGCTGCCAACTCAACCTCAGTGGAAAGGCAAGACAGTGCTAATTACCACAATTATCAGTGCATTAGAAACTTAGTTTCACTTATGTTGCTGGAAAGACATCAAACAATAGCAGATAATCCAAGATGAAAATGTAAATAAATTAATTAATCTAGAACTTGAGTCTACATCATGCAAACTTTAATTGCCATTGTTTGCACTTTCAACCTGCCTTACTATGGAACAAAAATACCGAGGGAGGTTGTACAATATAACTACTGCAATGTGTCTGATACAACAATCTATAAGTATGTAACCATTACATATTCTATTCATAAAATCCCAAACAATAGGAAAAAATTAATATCCAAATTTTAAACTTACTCATAGCCCAGGGAGGAATTTTCCTCTTAGGAGCACTGTCCTCATCAGTTGAGTCATCACTCTCAATATCATTTATATCATAATTATTAATATTTTTCTTATATTTCTTGGAGTTTGGTGTAATGTCATAACTATCTTTGTTTTTCCCAGTAGAACTTGACTGAGACGGTCCAGTAGTTTTGGAAAATGTGGTATTAAGACCATTTTCCTTGTTATCACTTAAAGTGAATGTATGATTTAGTCCAGTTTCCTTGTTATCAGCTAGTGCAATCTGTAGGAAAATTACAGTGTGAGATATATAATCATAAGATGAATAAAAGCATTACAACATAATAATCAACAAAATACAATAGAGAATGCTGACAAACTAACCTGAGCACTGAAGCTACAGGTTCATGTGGAAAGTGGACATGAAGATGTTACTAAGGAGCTAAGAAATAATAAATTTGAGAAAAGGATTAGAGGAATACTGATGGAATACAGGCATAATAACACATTAAACAGAACTGAGCAAAAGATGATGTTATCTAAAGGAAGTTCTGCATTAATTACCAATTGTTAAATAATGCAGCAAAAGGAAAATAAGTACTTTAGTTTTTACCTTTTTAACTGCTGAGCTTGTCAATTTAGCTTGTTGTAACTCAGCAATGCGCTGTGCTTCAAGCAATTTAAGGTATTCTAACTCCTTTTTCTCACGGGCGATGCGTTCTACCTCAGCAATTTTTCTACAAAAGAAAATTTTTCTGATATACTACAGTTTCTTCAATAACTAATAAAGCAGAATAAATTAATCATGACTTCACTGGTGCAATTAAAAACAAAAACATCAATGGAATTTTTTTTTTTAGATTTTTTTACGTGGCTTAATTAACCTACCTGTCATATTAAATATATACCGTATATATAGTGTACTATATGTATTTGTAGTACAAGCTTAAGTCTCTCATGGTTAAACATATATGGTATTATTGTTAATAATAAGAAGCATCCAATACAATATGTTGTTAAAGATTATCTAAATACAGTAGAAGTCCAAAAATCCGGACTGCTTGGGGATTGGGTCAGTCCAGATTTTCGGATTTTCCGGATTCTCAGGCAGTACTTTTAAAATTCAAATTTAAGGAGGAATAAAGAAGAGATGAACAGATACATTTTGATAGTTTATTCATTAGCAAATATAGCATGCTTCATTTATCAAAATGAGCAGTTTTAAAGAAAAAGCTGTGAATTCTAGAATTTTATTCTTTGCCTTTTTTATATCATAAATTGTAGACTTTACAATGTTGTATGTTTCCATTAGAACAGTATTGCTCACACCACGTTCTATTTTAATTATTTAAAGTTTGTCACCCAATTTCAACGTGTTCTTCTTTCTCTTCACACAACGGAGTTTATCTACTTCAGGAGCCATTATTATGGGCTCTGTAAATGGAAAGAGTAGGACTCAAAATTACATACGTTGTCACAGTTTGATTGCTCGTTTTAAAGTGGCGATCGCTTGTTGTCGCTGTGCAGCTGTGGCGCTCACGCATGCGCACATACACACAAAAGCCAGCTAAAAAAAAAAAAAAAAAAAAGTTTGAGTTTTCGAAAAGTCCGGATTCTCGGGTGGTCCGGATTTCTGGCATCCGGATTTTTGGACTTTTACTGTATATTAATAGTTTTTTTTATTATTCTTAAGAGGAAATACTGAGTGTTTAACTTAGTGTGGATGTACTTACAACCACCTCAAAAAGCCTGTCTCTCCTTCCAAACAAATCAGAATCGAAACTAAACAAATAATTTAGCACCAGCTGTGATGAGATCATGCGCTACATCTACCACCGAGTATTGATTATAATGTCCCTTACATGAAGATGTTATACACATTCCCTCTAAAATTTTGTTCTGATTGTAATAGACCAAAAATATTGAGAGAGAGAGAGAGGGAGAAAATTACACTTTCTTTTTCATTGGTGTTGTTACCCTGAACCTATCTCTCTCTCTCCAGGCAAAGATGGCATGTTATTGACGTTTTCAAGGACAAAGGGCATAATTAAAATTATTCCCTTGATCATTATGACACAGAAATTTCAACATATTTTACATAGGCATCAATAATATGTTAATACCCCGGTCATTGCAAATGATGTGTCCCTAAAATTCTTTGCGAATATCAGGATAATTTCTCCCATAAGAATTAATATAATTATATAATTGGTGGAGGTGTAATGTATTAAAATAAGTATAATACCATAATACAATACAAAACAACACTGCAGAAACACATTTTATTAGCCAAGCATCTTTAGCCTGCAAAAAGGTCACATTATTATACATCCATGGTATCCCTCCCAACCCCCTGGTCGGGGATAATCATATTTTTCTTTTATGGCCCAAACACCCCAAAATGACACTTGAAAATCTGCCTCGTTTAAAGGTGCTGCGAGACATTTAAATCCAGGGCTGGTGTAGTATTCCCAAACCTCTACTCGCTTCCAGTGCTGTCACAGTACTACTGGTTTGTCTTGCAGCCACATATATACATAATGATCACACACACACACACTGTAGGAGGGAGGGAGGGAGGTAGGTAGGTAGGGAGGGAGGGAGGTAGGGAGGGAGGGAGCAATGTAGGTGGAAGGCATGTGAGAGAGGGAACAGGGTGGGATGGAGGTAGCAGTATGGGAGGGAGGGAGGGAGCTAGTGTAGGAGGGAGGAAGGGGTGTGGGTGGATGTAACTATACAGTGGGACGGACTGGTAGGGGTAGGTGAAATGGAGGGAGTACTGGACGTTCCTGGAGATGAAGAGGACACCAACCCTCTCTCCTCTACTTGCTGTTTATCAGTGTTGTTTTCCTCTTGTTCAAACACATAGTCTTAGTCACTATCATTATCATCACGTTCAATATCCCTATCAATGCATGCCTCTGTCAATCTATACTCATCTTCACCCCTACCAAATAATTTAGAGTATGTCTCAACCTGATTGAGTGACCGGTTACGTTCACATGCCATGGCTATCGAGAGACTACTGTGTAGTCCCAGGGCCTTGACTGTGAGGAGAGATGGGAGGGTGGGGCCCCCTGGGGAGAGATGGGAGGGGGGGGGAACATTTACACAAACAGATTATGGTAGCTAGACTCAATTTCAAAGGTGCGGGAAAAGCAGATTTGGAAAACGTTCTAATACGTGACTGACCAGAGATAATAATATCGGTGATCACGTAATTGAACGTTAATGACCAGTTATGGGTTAAAATAAGCATAGAATATTGATTCACCATGGGTGTAAAAAATTCACTTACTGTAAAGACACACCGACACAAATGTTGTTAATAATTACTAAACTTTGTGATTGTGTGTATAAAATGTGTGAATGAGTAGGAGGCAATACGAAAAAAATTTTGACACAGTATCGACACTACCACACAACGCAACAGATCAAAGCAGACAGAGAGAACTCTTTCGCATGGCCTGGTGTATGAATACACAGCAAAAACAATTAACTATGCAGCCTGCTCACATAGCTTGAGCCACCAAGCACCAGAGATGACACACACCTCCAGCATGTTCCTTATTTTGCTCCTGAAAAGTTAAATATCATCATACATAGAAAACAAAACTCCATTATGAAAACACATATGGCCTCCACCCAAAAAATCCCACCAAGCACATTATATATGCAATAATGCACAGCCACACATTAATCCTTTATCATGCCTAAAATAAACCAAATTAAATGACAGTAACCAGCAGAAATATTCCATTAAATTGGAAATGAAGAGAGATGCAGGCATAATTAACGACCATTAAAGAGGAACAAAATTTACAGCATAATCAGCCGAGTCTTGGGGTCAGAAGTCCATAGCTGGTAACAGCATCGTACCTGGCATCTCTGCCAAGCACTACTTCTGACAGAGGAATACAGTACGAGTGCAGCAGCTAGTTAGCTTGTGCAGTTTGAAACAAATTTACTGTAGCATATTGAAATTATTTCTTTCAATTTTCTAATTCGCTTTGCGGATAAGCAAGGTATGCTTTGCGAATACAGATACTGAACTAAGTATAGAATATGCCTGTTAAAATATAAATTGCGAATAAGTGGGGTCATGATTAACGTTTCAATTGAAAAGTGCAATAAAAGCCATTATGCTTGAGATAAGACATACAAATATTATAAAGCACATACGACCCAAATGATATCTTATTGTCCACCACCAGCAAAACTTCGCCCAGCAGCGGGGAATGTATGGAACAGCTTCACTCCCTGTTTTTACTTAAAATTTGAATTATCTCTCTAATTTTATGAATTTACACACCCTCACAGATGAGTCACAGACATGAGGGCTCGGAGCAGTATAGTCACCTCTCACTTTACACGGATTTAATTAGCATGTTCTTAAAATAACACTAGCATTAAGTTAACACCTATTTTTAAATAACACAGTTTTCAAAAGAGTCCCATTGCGCCAGGCAGCATAGTTCTACATCTCATTGCTTTCCTACTTTACAAAAAAGGAAAGAGTAACAATCACCTTAACCTCAGCCATCAACATATGGTAACTCGAAAGCTCCCACTTCTCCCCATTCACCTGCTCTGTCATCTGATTCAAATGACTAACTCCCCCAGTAACCCCCACCTCTCCTCCACCACTAGTTCCTGCATGCCATCTCAGCCATCATTCAATGTTTACGTTCGCACAAATTTTCATTTAAAATCTATTTTCTTACTACTGTATTATTAGATTTGCTTCTATTATTGTATTATTATTGTTAATATATTTTTGTAAAAAAAACATACTGAAGGAAATAGATCCACAAATTAAAGTTTTTAGGGAGCGCTTCCCCTAACCCCCGCCATTTCCTTTATTTATGGGATAATTAGGTTTGATTTACACGGTCATTCTCAAGAACGTAACTACCATATAAATTGAGAGATGGCTGTACACAGCTTGTTCCAAAATGAGCAATCCTCAGTGAAGTGAGAGGTGCACCAGGCGAGCAAAACTGAGGTACTTGGATGTGCATTAATAAAAGCAACCAGTGGAGTTATGGTCTCCAGTTTGTGCAGTGGGCAATGAATAAAATGTACGGTACCATGAAACCACCAAAATGGTACCTTACCAGCTGTGTTTCCTATGGAAGAAAGTGCTTACAAGATAAGCACAAAAACTGTAATTGAAAACACACTTGCTTGACACCAGATAGGGTTATTGCACTACAATGGTATTAAATAAGGTGATATTCCCCAGAAATAACTTGGTATTCAGAAATTTTCCCACACAGAGTACCTGTGGAGATCCATCAATTAAAAGGTGCCACTGTAGAAGTAGCTGTCTAACATAGCAGGGCTCTCATTTGATAGACAGTCTTCATTGCAACAGAGCCTGTTATAGCCATAAATCATGTGGTGGGGAATGGGGGAAAATGAAAATTCTCCCAATAATGGACAGAGCTTGTATGGATTAGTTTGGTACAGTATTGGCAGGGTTTACTGTAATTTTATTTAATACACTTACCGTTTCCTTTCTTCCTCTTGACGACGGCGTTGCTCTGCCAGATATAATAGTTTTTCCTCCTCATTTTGCTTTTCTTCTTCCTTTAATTTCCTTGACTCCTCTTCCTGTTTCCTTCGTTCTTCTTCCTGGTTTCATAAATTAGAAATGGAGTCACAATCATTTTAAAGAAAAAATACACAGAAAGATGAAGTGTATGTAACCTGACTTTTAATATACTGTAAACCCTCGATAACTCGGAATTTTATACAACTCGGCATGGATATGTTCTCGGAATGGTTTCTTTTTTTTTACGGGGATTAGCCCACCCGGGCACAGGTCACTTGACCCACATCAGGGCCTGGGGGGGGCGAAGATATAATAATAATAATAATAATAATAATAATAATAATAATAATAATAATAATAATAATAATAATAATGATAATAATAATAATAATAATAATAATAATAATAATAATAATAATACAGGGGGTAATAATAATAATTAATTAATTAAAATTAATAAAAATTTTAATAAACAAAATAACAGTAATAATAATAAATAACCGTAAATAGTAAAAAAAAAAAAATCAAGAGTGAGAAACGACATACATTATGTATATTGTGTTGTCAACAGCAAAAATCTCGGCATATCTGGTAGCCTGTGTCACCTACCATACCTCTGTGTCACCTACCATGCCTGTGTCTCACCTACCATGCCTGTGTGTCACCTACCATACCTCTGTGTCACCTACCATGCCTGTGTGTCACCTACCATACCTCTGTGTCACCTACCATGCCTGTGTGTCACCTACCATGCCTGTGTGTCACCTACCATACCTCTGTGTCACCTACCATGCCTGTGTGTCACCTACCATGCCTGTGTGTCACCTACCATGCCTGTGTGTCACCTACCATGCCTGTGTGTCACCTACCATGCCTGTGTGTCACCTACCATACCTCTGTGTCACCTACCATGAATCTGTGTTACCTACCACACCTGTGTCACCTACCATGCCTGTGTCACCTACCATGCCTGTGTCACCTACCATGCCTGTGTCACCTACCATGCCTGTCACCTACCATGCCTGTGTCACCTACCATGCCTGTGTCACCTACCATACCTCTGTGTCACCTACCATACCTCTGTGTCACCTACAATGATGCTCCATTCTTCGCCTGCAGTGCTGGTAAGTGTTACTTTTTGTATATTTAGTAATTACCTGTACACACACACATATGGGTCGATGATTTTTGTATGAAGGGGGAAAGGCCTCGATAAGTCAGAATCTGGTATACCTCAGCAAGGCCAGAGCCCAGATGTGCTGATTTATCGAGGGTTTACTGTATAGTAAATATATACGAGAGTTTTAAATTCAACGCAACTATGAATAATTTAATTTCCAAGGTTACTGCTTAAACCTACCTGTTCTTTAATCTTCTTAACTCTAGCCTCTTCTGCACGTCTCTTAGCAAGAAGTTGCTGCTTTCTGTGCTGCTGCTGCTGTTCTCTTAGTCGCTCCTCTCTGTTCTTTCTATCTCTGTCTTGTTGTTTCTTTGCTTCTATAGCCTTACGCTCTCTTTCTTCACGAGCTTCCTGTACCCGCTTCATCCTTTCCTCGTTGCGTCTGTTATAAAATAATAATTGAATAAAATTAATGACAATTCATACAAGATTCATTAAACCACCCAACACCTTGTTCTCCCATTATTCATGCAACAATCCATTTGACACTCAGATAAAACTTGAATTATGAATCCTAAGAACAGCTCTGACTTTCATATTTCTAGATATTTATCTCCTGACCAACCTTTTCTGCCCCTCTGCTTTCAATTTTAATAATTCTTCTTTCTTTTTTATCGTCTCATCCTCTCGATCCCTCTTCTTTTGCAGTCCTGTTTGTCGCTTCTCCTCACGTGATGGCTTTGCTGGTTGTATTTTGATGAATGATGTTATTCCAGTAACTATGTTCGTTGGGTATTTAGCTTCATTTGGGTCACCAAATTTCTGTAATAAAACATGATTAAACTTCAAAACTTGATTATGAAGAATGAAAATATTAATAATAATAATAATAATAATACAGTAAAAAGAATTTGAAAAATACAAACATACACTGGCAAATATAGTATGAAAGTCACAGGAGTTTGTAATCTTTATTTTAGGCAAAATCATAGCAAACTTGGGGTTTTGTGAAGCAGTTCAGAACCTAACCCCCGTGATGACAAGGTTTCTATAGCACTGTTCGTCACTCATTTCACACAATTGTGGGAGGGAGGGAGGGAGGGAGGGAGGGAGGGAGGGAGGGAGGGAGGGAGGGAGGGAGGGAGGGAGGGAGGGAGGGAGGGAGGGAGGGAGGGAGGGAGGGAGGGAGGGAGGGAGGGAGGGAGGGAGGGAGGGAGGGAGGGAGGGAGGGAGGGAGGGAGGGAGGGAGGGAGGGAGGGAGGGAGGGAGGGAGGGAGGGAGGAGGGAGGAGGGAGGGAGGGAGGGAGGGGAGAGGGAGGGAGGGAGGAGGGAGGGAGGAGAGAGAGGGAGGGAGGGAGGAGGAGGGAGGGAGGGAGAGAGAGAGAGAGAGAGAGAGAGAGAGAGAGAGAGAGAGAGAGAGAGAGAGAGAGAGCAATTTACCTGATACTTTTGATAATAAAAATAAAATACTGCTACAGTTATTATCTTATTCATTAAAAGACTTAGAACAAAATACACTAAAATATAATGGCTGTTAGCATAAGAATTATATATTTCTAATGTTGCAGTTGCCCTCTCATTAACCAGGGTGTTCCTGTATATAATAAATACTGTATGCAAAACCTTTTGTATTTTGTGTTTTACCGAGGATGACGAGGTAAGCATCAGCCGACTTCTTGAGAAAGTTTTTGGTGTATCACGAGAGCTACCATGGGTACTGCTGCTGCTGCTGAGTAAAATCTTCTTTGGTCGAATAACCTACATAGGAAAAAAATATATCAATTATAAAATTTAGTAAAGGCATCATTCAGAACAAAGGAAAGTGTATATTGTATATAGAGTATACCATATGCAGTATGTAATACTACTGCACATTTCCCCAGCTGCAAACAAGGTGTCACTCAAATCAAGGACATATCCACTTACTGCTACAATTCCCCTGGAGTTTAGCAAATGCCGACCTTTCCAAAATGTCTAAATGCTCAGCAACTGCTTCTTCCAGTTGAAGTGATAAGTAGAAGAGATTAAAGTATAGAATCCCATCCATATAAAACAACAATAATATCCCATACATAACAAATAATGTAAATACTGTAAATAAAGTGATGTTAAACAATACAGAATAATGAAAGTAAAGTAATGTAAAATATGGGATCTTAGAGATTTTTGTAGTGAATGTATTGGATCCCATTCATAACTCGGGGACTGCCTGTAGTTCACATCACCAAATTGTGGAAGAGAAATAAAGATGATCAAGCTCACTCCTTATATTTTTAATCCCTATTTATATCTCTTTTAATTGAGTTTATGACTCAGTTGGACAGCACAACTATAACAGTAATAAGAAAAATACAAAAAAACACCCAAGTTTGAAAATACAGTACCTTATCTGAAGTACAAGTTGCAGGTGGGGTTCTGGCAGGGGGCTTTATCCGAACTCTCTGGGAGTCTGGAGTCTGAAATAAATACAGTGAGTTAATATATTATTGACATAGTTCAGCTTTTTTTCAAGATGAAACACGAAATTTGCTGCATGCATTTGATTTATCTTAATATGATGGAACATACACTAACCCCTCCATAAATTTAACTATGAAATACTTACAGGTAATTCTGACATGGGGAGAAGTCACGAATTATCTGAGAGATAGAAACCTGACAAGAGAAATGGGCATAAAACAATGAAGATATGATGAAGCCACCATTGAAGAACATTCCAGGGATTAACAACTTAATATTCTTGATTAAAGCTAAACAATAAATGCCATCTTTGATTAAACCACATCACAAAAGTAATTTTTTTTTTAAGAATGCCAGGCCACTGTTAACAATATTGGTATATACGTCAAGTGCTGTCATACTAAGAACCGCTCTCCAATAATTACCATTCCCAGTACAGTACAGTATGTGATCTCAGTATATGAGGACTAACATTAATCAAACCATTCATTTAATACAGTAATCTTTCACCACTGCCTCGTACAGTAAATATAAATACTGTACTGTACATACATTTCATAAATCTGCAATTATACCAGTACAGTTCTGATTGATTCAAGTCTGGTAATAAGGTTTATGAGTAAAAAAGGGTGCAATACTTGTACTATACTGTTTGTTGTTACCCATTGCAAAATTAAATTACTGTACACTACAGTGAAACCTCTATTTAACGGACAATGTAGAAAGGAGACTCCGCTATATAGAGGACCCGTTTTATGTGAATCCCACATCTAATGAACTACAGTATGTTAGATAGAGATAAAAGTCTCTTATATTGAGGATCCATTTGATATGAAACCCCATCTAACAGATTATATGGAGAGAGGAATCCATTATATGGAGGTTTCATTGTAAGAATGGACATCGAAAACTTGAAGAGTGTACAGTTGCTATCTACTGTACTTTACAAAGAATGCATTTAAGTAGGTAGAGTTCACTCAAAATAATAGGGTTTGGTAGTGGCAAAGTAGTCCCATGAAAAAGAAACATACTTTATTTAAAAAAATTCTATGTTTACTGCTATACAAGTGAGGAAGAAATTGTGGATGAACAGGAAGAACTAATCTAAGAACAAAGATGCACAAAGGAAATGCTTACCATACTACAAGTTTAATAACTAAAAGGAATTTCAAATTCTAGGTGCTGTACATGTGGATTTTGGCCATTAAGAGGGATGCACCAATATACAATACATACATAGAGTGACCATATATGAAGGATAGTATACTGTATATAAATACAGCCAGGTGATGCAAATACAGCACACTATCATTTCATAAGATATCAATGATTAAAGTAAAGTTAGTTTTTTGGGGGAAAGGGCCATTATATCTGCACATTTCAAAATGTAAGTAAACCCGAATAGCTTCTTTGCAAATAAAAATCAACACAACCTCCACAACCCATTACAACTCACGAACATTAAACATTTATTAGCTGTTTAATGGTGAAATAGTTCTGATAAACAATAAGCACCAATATACTGTAATTCCCTGTGAACCCATTAATTTCCCCTTTCTAATATTACCACCTCCTAATTAACAATACCCTTACATTACAGTACTGTATGTTAGCCCAAGTAAATGCTCTCAGTACTGAAAAAATCAAACCTCCGAATATTTCATTGCTTTTTTCAACTCGGCACCTCTTGCAATCTCTAGGGCACGTTTTAAACTCCTGCGATAGTTCTTGTTGAACTCTCACCCTGTTAAAGGAACATTTGAGGCTTCTAGAAATGAATATATAATCGTAACAGTACAGTAATAAGTTCTTCATTAATGTTAAATAGTACATTTTATGTAATTTACACTATTATTCTATCTACATTTTGTAATTTTCTATTCTCTGCTCCTATACTGTATACATAGGGCATATCAAGGGAAACAGAAACCTCAAGAACAAAATGGTCATGCCAGAAACACTCGAAATACACAAAAACATAACACACATAATGAAGCCATTTACAAATTTCAATGATTACTATCAGAAACTCACCTCCTTTTGGGTCAGGACTGATTGAAAGCTAACAACCATGAGATATAGCAATCATATATTATTTGTAATATCTAAAAGGGAAGAAAAAAGGTAAATTGGAAACTCTTGTAAATGGTTGGTTAGCCTTATATCTTTAGACTAAGTGACAGTCCCTGTGCATATCAGATTGCACCCAAGAAAAATACAAACTCACCCAGAATGGTACCTTAAACACTTGAACATAAAAATCATGGCAGCCCTATGAATTGTCATGGAAAAGACTCATATTAAGTATGCCAACAGTCAGAAATGGCAACTTAAGACAGCTTGCTGAAAGGCCTATTCACATGACCCTGTTGGTGGTGGCAATAAATATCTTTAAACATTAATGACTTCTGGCAAGAGACAACGTCCTGTTCACTAGCATAGTCAATGGCTTTTCTTTCAATTACTGTAGTGTAAGTCTAATTTGCATTAGTAACTTACTCCCTGTACAAATGCACCTCAACCTATTATATTCATGTCAGGTTTAGTAATAATTTCTCAAATACTGTACTATATTTTCTAAAAGTTTACATATAACCAAGAGGAGCTTCTCACCTTTGCATGTCTAACTCGTGCATGTCGTGTTACATGAGCTGGGGAGTGTGTTACCTGAAAGATAAAATAGCCATTATATAAACAGAAATGGATATTTGCTTTATGTGGCCATCACAAATACAGGAGTCATGGACAAGCAATAAAATTACTCACAACTCACTGACTTATACTGGGAGGATTAAAAATATATATACAGTATAGTCTCGGCTTACGCGTTTGGTCATTTACGCGGCACCTTGCCAGACTGGCAATTTTTATTTACACGGTTCATTCCATCATTTACGCGGAAAGCGGCGCGGGCAGGGTGCACACAAGGTCACCCAGTCAACAAAACATTACCGAGTTCTTCACCCGCCACCCACCACGGCCAGCCCAAGTCAGTGATAGTGAGGATATGGACTTTGAGGGGTTTGACAAAGAGGCCCTGCAAGCCTCTGTGGTGGATAGTGATACAATTGATACAAGTGATACAGGTGAGGGCCAATTAATCTGCCCTCTGCCTCAGAACCAACCCCCCATCCCCGTGTGCCCAGCCATCTTTTCTACTAATGTAAGTGTTAAAAAACCTAATATTATTTATATTTCTTTTAAATATTAATTGTGTGTGCATACCATCATAAAATTAAGATGTTATTTTTACTACAACGTACTATTGTGTCAGAAAAAGTGTAGTTTGGGGGTCGGCCCAGTCTCTATTTCAATTAATCCCATATGTTCTGTTATTTCGTTTACACGTTTTACGCGGACCTCCACGGTTTCAATTGACCGCGCAAATGAAGACTATACTGTATACAGTTTTTTTTTACCAGAGTAACGAACTCAACCACTTATAAACACACCTCACACTCCTCAGAAGTTAGCTCTTCAACCTCATTAAGGGTTTCTCCAATGTGATTCTGATATGCAGTTGCCAATTCTCGTACAGTACAGCCTGTTTTTGAGCTGAAATATGATAAATTGATTAAATAAACTAAAAAAAAAATGCAAATGTAGAGATCAAAATGATACTGGCATGATGTCATCTCCACCCCCACCAGGAAAATAATAAAAGTATCCTAAAAACAAATGGCCCCACTTTACTGTAAACCTACTTTGTATAACAGGTTTTTTTAATTAAACAGAAACAGATTTGTTCACCACCACTGCAGAATTAGGCTATTTGTCCCTCCCTCCCTCCAGGACCATAACTTTAAAACTATGAAATATTGCATCTTAATGAAGCTTTACCACATTATGCATAAGTGGAATGAAATTTGTCAAATAATATTTTGTCCGTATCTTCAAGGATAAAATTAGGCATATTAATGAAGTGTTCATGTCCACCCTGAAACCTATGAACCAAAAAGGATATCAAGGTACATTAACACAATGTAGCAACTGCCAGGCAATACGTCATGGACCAAGTGGGGACTTAACCTTCAAGGTTACAGCAGTACCCTGGATACAGTACAGAAATCTGTCTGTATTCACTCCACAACTTCTTAACCAATGAAAATATCCCCATGACACACTGGTGCAACTTGCATCGCCAAAAGACAAAGTGTCATGCACAGTCCCGATTGAGGTCTAACTTATAAGGGAAAGTTCATCTTCAATATATAATAAACAACTTATATCCTTCTGTAACTCTTTAACTAATATGGAAATTATCTTGAAATATCAACACAATATACTCCACTACCAGACAATGTCAACTTTAAAGATCAACAATGTTTTTACAATTGTTGACTGATTACAACAAGATTATCAGAGAGAGATCACCTTTTCCCAATATCACTTTACTCCTGACTTCTTCACACCACTGACTGCTTAAGATCATGGGGAAACATGCTATACTGTCGAAAGTTTCAGAGCAATCACAAAGTTTGTTTATAAGTCTGATCTTCACCTTGATCTCTGGTTATGCCCCTGACTATAAAGGGAAGACTAAAAATTGGCATAAGGTATAAAAAATAAAGGCTTTACTAATGCATACTTTGGTAAAGTTTCAAAATAAAATACAGTTGGTCCTCACATTAAGCGGTCCCGCATTCCGCGTTTCACCGTTAACGCGGTGCCTTGCCAGAACCTAACATTCTTACATTCCGCGGTCGTGAACCCCATTACGCGGAGAGCGGCTGGCAAGCCGCGCCATTTTTGGATCCAAACCTCCCGCCATCCGCCATGTTGTGTAAGAGGCGCGAAAATGGTGCGCACAAGGTCGCCCAGTCATCAAAACATTACCGAGTTCTTTACCCGCCACCCACCACAACCGGCCCAAGTCAGTGATAGTGATAATTATAGTGAGGATATGGACTTGTATGGACTTTGAGGGGTTTAACAAAGAGGCCCTGCAAGCCTCTGTGGTGGATAGTGATACAATTGATACCAGTGATACAGGTGAGGGCCAATAATCTGCCCTCTGCCTCGGAACCAACCCCCCATCCCCGTGTGCCCAGCCATCTTTTCTACTAATGTAAGTGTTAAAAAACCTAATATTATTGATATTTCTCTTAATTATTAATTGTGTGTGCATGCCATCATAAAGTTAAGATAATATTTTTACTACAACATAGTTGTGTGTCGTCAAAAAGTGGAGTTTGGGGATCGGCCTGGACTCCATTTCAATTAATCCCATATGTTATGTTGTTCACTTTACGAGTTCCTCACTTTCCGCGGGACCCTCCGGGTTACATTAACCGCGTAATGTGAGGACCAACTGTACTGTGCATACTTTAGAGTTCTTAAATTTTGATAACAGTTGGAGAGATGGATAACTAAAATCTAGTCCTCATATTTTGCAAAGCAGCAGGGGACAAAAGAGTACATTTCATGAACATAGTAACTTTGACCTTAGTGAACCACTCAATCCTCCTCCCTCACTTTAACTTGTATACTGTTCCTTTAATGAAATAATTTTATTGTCTATGGCCATTATCTGCACATTTTACAATCATTATACTGTATATTACTATTCTCCACCTATTACACCTCAAGAGCATCACTCACCCAGCAAATGTTCGTGGAGAATGTTTTACAGGGGTCATCGCGCGTGTCCCCTTCTGGCGTACAGTAGAAGACATTGGAGAGTCCTTGTCTGAATTTGGTGTACAGCAAGCACGCTTAAAACTAGTGTGTACTGGACTACCTGGAGTTACAACTTGGACAGTTGACGACGATGGACAAGGGCTTAATAATAAAGCTGGCAACTGGCGCACCTTAGATCGATTATCCGGCGAACCGGCCCAATTTCTGTGTTCTGAGTAGATGTAGCAGCCATTACAGTATTCTCAGAGGTATAGGAGGTCGCTGATTGTGATGGCTTCATAGATGTTACTGATGGAACAGACCTAACAAGTGGTGATTTCTGTACAACCTGAGATGATTTGCCGTCTTTCTCATCTTCAGGTTCAGTAAGAAATAAACATAGACCAAGTTTTTCTGAAGCCACAGATTCTTTTTCAGGTTGTTCTTCCATTTTCTTACACTTTGTCCTTGTAGATCTAGTAGGCTGATCTACACCTAACTCGTCAAACATTCGTTTCTTTGTTCTTGTTGTCCTTGGTTTTTGTGATTCATTGTCTACTGATTTATTAATGTCATTCTTGACTGGAGTGTCAGTTAAGGAAATTACCTCTATCACCTTTTTCTTTGTACGAGTAGAACGAGACATTGGGATTTCCTCAGATGGCTGTGCAACAGCTTTCTCATGGGTATTATACCCCTCCTCTACTGAAGACTGTGAATCATATTCCACATTTTCAAATTTGTTAGTCTGTTCTTTTGCCTTAGTCTTTGTGCGAGTCATTCTTGGTTTTGGAAAGTCCATGGGTGGTAACAACTGACCTTCTGATTCATCAATTGTATCGAGCAATGGTAAGACCTCCTTTTGCTTTGTACGAGTTAATCTTGGTTTGGGAATGGGATGAGGCTGATCTGCTGTGCTTACCATATTATCTGTTATATCTCCTCGTGTTGATAACTGCAATTCCTTTTGTTTTGTTCGAGTGGTTCGACCACTTGGTATTGGTTGTAACAAGTTTTTCTGTTTGCTCTGGCAAAATCCTAACTTCTTCAGGGGTTCTGGATTGAGAATTACACTCGTCATAATTCTCACATTTTGTACATGCATTTTCAGTACAATTATTGGGAGATAAAGGCTCTTCTTTTTCTTTGCCTTTACACATCTCATTCCCTGATCTCTGAACATCCAGTTCCTTTATTCTGGTGCTTTTGTTATCGTCGCTGTCTTCTAACCTGAGGTTAGAGTATGAACAAGTTGTTTCACTAATACAACCTACACCTTCCTCCTGATATGCATTTGTAACAGTAACTTGTGTTGTATCTTTTGAACTATCTACTTCTTGAGATGTGTGTAAATGAGATAATCTTTCAAGACTGACTTTAACACTTAGACATTTTACACCATCATTCTTCTTACTTGGTGTGTCTAGTGCTAAAGGATTAACAGCTGATTCACAAGGATCAACAGTTGATTCATATTCCATCTCTTCAAAATGAGACTCACAATTTTCCCCATGACCAGAGTCTGCTCCTTTTACTACTTCTTTATAACTGAAAAAAAGGCATAAATCAGTAAATTACATAGACTACAGGTACATAAATATATATTTTCTGAAGTATTTTAACATCACATGGTTGGCCAAATTCCACAAGTTTACCACAGTACGTTAATATGGATATGGTAGTTACAAGATCTGTCACTTTAGAGTTCATATACCTGAGACAATTACTTTGCTTAAAACAGCTACCACTGAAAATGTTGCCTAGGCATTTTGCATATTCAATTTAGGCTCTGTCTGCCCTCTGATCTAAGCTAATCAAACAACTTTAACCCCACATCTACTCTCACCCACATGGCCACACCAATGGAGTTCCTATAAAACATTCACTTGAGTTATTATAAAATGGCAAGTAAGGTGTCAATGGTCCATAAATACCTGGAGCTGCTTTCAAAGGAGTCTCCCTTGAAAATAACCTGACATGTTCCTCTTGTCTTTTTTGTTGTCATAGGTACCCTTTTCATTTTCTCGTGAGCGAGCTGTCAGAAATAGTAAAATAATCCAAGTTATGGCTATAGAAAATACAGTATTATTCTTTGAAATTTATCACAAATTTACATTGCTAATATGCGTCAAGTGTACAGTATTATGTACCCAACATGATAACTAATAAGAAACTATTTATCATTTCTTCCTTACTAATGAGATACAAATTGCAGCGAGGAGAAAAATATGAAGGAACAAAATACAAAGCACTTGAATAATTGTTCCACATACAAAAACTTCATAGGAGGGATGTTAACAGAGAATACTTTCAAGACCAGTGTATTCAGCAACAGGAAATGGCTAAACAGAACAAACAAAAAAATCATTACAGTACAATTATTCCTGTAACAATTTGGATAATTACCCGAGATGCAGCTCTGCCCCTCCTTGGGGGTGTTTCAAGAGGGCTTTGATTATTGATGTTGCTTCCTGTGTTACAAGTGGACAACCTCTTGGATGATGAAAATACTTCATCTTCTGCGGGGATGCAGGTGGAATACAAGATGATAATAATAAAAACAGCAAACACTATGGAAAGACATACAGTACAGTACAGTATTCCAAGTTACATTCCTAGATCATGTTCATAAATAAATTTATTGGGAACCCAGAACCATGGGTAGTAGGCAGCTACCAAACATGGAGGTACTACCACCTGGGAAGATATTGGCAGCATAAGTATTGTCTAATGGTAGACTCTGCTGCCATATGGCACCACAAAAATTGTGACCAAGTCCCAGGTTGCTGAACTGACTTTCTGCCTCATTTACACACAATTGCAGGGTCTCAATTGTTTCTCTTACTTTGACAACACAGCATACATATATTGTTTCTCACTCTTGAACTTTTTTTTCCTTTCTTTTTTCTATTGTCATTTATTATATCATTATAATCAGTATTACTGTATATCATACACATTTTTATTTTTTCTAATTTTTTATTATTATTATATTTTCGCCCCCAGGCCCTGATGTGGGTCATTGACCTGTGCCCTGGTGGGCTAATTCCCCCCCTTCTCCCAATAAATAAAAAATTCACAATAAAATATAAATAAAACCCATCCCTACCGGTACTTATAAAATCATAACAAATTATAGCCCGTAAATAATATGTGGAGTCATAATGCTGAACAAAGTACAGTACAGTATTCATTAGTACAGTATTGTACCTGGGAAAGTTCGTAAGTTGATCTGAATTTTTATTATGACTATACTGTAATGGGATCATATTTGTAAATATGAGTATAATCCCTTTATTTCAAACTAATGGGGGAGACGGGGGTTTGGAATGCCATAAATTTAAAAATAGGAGGGAAGGAGGGGATTTTACTACTTACTACAGTACTGTATTACATAAAATTTAAATACATGTACAGTAGGGTGACAATAAAAAGTGAAAGTTTTTATTTTTAGATGGCCATTTGTCCAATACTGCGTACCCATGAAAAAAGAACACAGGCGAAATCCTGGGTCATTTGGACAATATTTAGAGGTGGCTCAAGCCATTTGAAGTTAACACTACTGAAATTATTATTGATTTTTTCTAATTTCTTTATTTATGAACCGATTACTATGAAACTTTGCAGGTATATGTAGAATGCAAATTCAAACTAAAGTTGTTCCTAACATTTTTTTCTAAAAATGAGTAATGAGTATTTTGGCTGGTGCAGCTATTGGCAATGCAGAGGGGAGGGAGAGGCGGGTGTCAGTCCGGGTAGGGGGAAGAGGTTGTGTGCCAGTGTCTGACTGGTACAGTAGCATCAGTTGTGTGTGAGACGTGATGGTGGGTGTGTGTGCGTCGCTCTTGTTGCAGTATTACGGTTAGTGCCATTGTCTTTGTCTAAAATCAATGCATCAATTTAGGTATATAACACTTTAAAAACTTTATACAAGTGATCTTGCATGCCGTATGCTTTATGGGTGCTGTTGTTTGCATAACAGTAACAACATAAGTTCTGCTCTTGAATATGATGAGTTGGGTTCTTCGTCTGAAACAGAATCACAATCAAGCTCGTCATCATCTACAAGTTCCCTAGCGATATCACCAGTGGTATCTTCTTCCAATCGTAAACGTGCTACTCTCAAAGTTATCACCCCTGAATTGTCAAGTACATTGGACCTCACTGGGATCAGTCACCGCTCTGCTCTCCGGATCGTCAGTGCCACGGCTGCTAGTCTAGGTCATGACCCAATGGAACTAGTTTTAAACTATGAGACAGTGCGTACTTCGCGAGCGACCCACCGTTCTGGGATTGCCAACGAAATTAAAGAAAAATTTCAACCTAGTGAAGTGCTCACTGTGCACTGGGATGGAAAAATTATTCCTGATGAACAAGGAGCGAGTGTTGACCGAATCGCCATTCTTGTCTCCGGAATCAATACTGAAAAGCTGCTTGGTGTCCCAAAACTATTGTCAGGGACTGGACAGGCCATTGCTACAGCAGTCAGTGCAGCGCTGGAAGAGTGGAAAATATCAGAGAATGTTTCAGCACTCAGTTTTGACACAACAGCTTCAAACACTGGGCACTTGTCGGGGGCATGTGTCATTCTGGCGCAGAAACTCGGCCGCCGTCTTCTGCATCTCGCGTGTCGTCACCACATCCTTGAGCTTGTTGCCGAGAAAGCGTATGTGGAGTGCATGGGGCCTTCCTCTGGACCAGATAATACTCTCTTCTCTCGCTTCAAGCATAAGTGGAAGGACATCAGTCAAGATGACTACAGCCCTCTCTCAGACCTCCCTCCAAGTTTGTACGAGAAACGAGATGACCTCATCTGTTGCTGGAAACATCATCTGGGCAAGAAGCAGCAGCCACGTGATGATTACCGTGAGGTACTGGAGCTAGCAATCAGGTGTCTCGATGGAGCTCTACCCAAGTTTAATCTCCGACGGCCTGGAGCACTTCACTGAGCACGGTGGATGGCTAAGCTCATTTATGTCATGAAGATCCTGATTTTTGCTAATCAGTTTAAACTAACTGCTCGTGAGACATTAGGCTTGAAACGATTCACATTCTTTGTGCTAGAGGTGTATGTCAGTGCATGGTTCACGGCCTCCGTTCCATCCTCCGCTCCTGCTAATGATTTGCGGCTCCTCCAAGACCTGTCAGAGTACCACGACGTCAAAATATCAAGAACATGTCTCACAGTCTTCGGTCGTCACCTGTGGTACCTCAGTGAAGGCTTGGTGGGTCTTGCACTCTTCGATCCACAAGTTAATGCAACAGTGAAGACAAACATAGTTCGGGCAATCGTTGAGAGGAAAGCGACCGAGGATTCACCAAAACGTGCTGCTCTTCCTGCCACATCTTCCCTTCCCACAAAGCAGCTCTCAGACTTTGCTTCTAGAGGATCAAACTTTCTATTTGAAAGTCTCAAAATGAAGACTTCTTTTTTGTCCAAGGAACCTGACACATGGTCTGATGATGAAGACTTCAAAACTGGCGTCGCAGTTGTGGGTGGTCTCAGAGTCATCAACGACACTGCAGAGAGAGGGATTGCCTTGATACAGGCATTCAACAGCAAGATCACGAAGAGTGAAGACCAGCGTCAACATCTGCTGCAGGTTGTTGAAGAGCAGAGGCGGTCACAACCAGGGACATCAAAACAGGACCTTATAAGCAAAAAGCGAAAACAATGAATGGGTTGTCCACACCTCTCCCACCCATTGATGTAAGCGTGTTCACTGCAGTTTCATTTTAAAAAGGAATTAATCATTTATATGTACAGTGTACACATAAACTTGCTCAATATGTAAATTTTAAAATAAACCGGCATATTATGAATATTCGTATTTTTTGCCAAAAGGATAAAACTTCAATTGACTTGAGCTACCTCTAAATATTGTCCAAATGACCCAGGATTTCGCCTGTGTTATTTTTTCATGGGTACGCAGTATTGGACCAATGGCCATTCCATTTAATCAATTTTAGAAATTCACCCCTATGCACTATTGTCACCCTAATGTACAGTCAGTTCTGCTATAACGCGATAGTTGTGTTCTTGTAAAACATCGTGTTATAGAAATTCGTGTAATAGAAATAACAGGGCTTATGGAGAAAATAGGGTTAGGTGCAGATTACTACTCGAAATCGAAAAAAATTTAGTAGTTAGCCTAACACAAAGGATAGCACAGTCTAAATAAATGTTACATTCATATCTAATAATGAAATCATACAGTAAATGTAACACTTTACCTTGAAAAAATATGAATATAACTTGATGGGGAGAAGGGTGATTTTGAGGTTGATAACATCGAGCTTCTCTTCAAGTGTTATAGCCTTTCTTTTACGATCATCACCGGGAATGCGATCACCAGAACGCTTCTTGGAGATATTCTTCTTTACCATATTCACAGTTAATGCCACAAAATTGGAGAAATAGTAAGCAAAATCGTGTTACAGCAAACAAGCGTTCGAGTTATACAAATATCGTTCCTCTATTCATAAATCGCGTTAGAGCCAATTCGCGTTGTCAAAACACGCGTTATAGCAGAACTCACTGTATCCCTCATCTTGAAAACCTAACGTTCGAGTAAAATTATTGCTAAATGTGGGATAACAGCAAGCTGAAAAATACCCATAACATAATATATACTGTAGCTCACAAGTGGGGAACAGTTACACCCCCCCCGGCCTGGGAGTGAGATCTAGGGGTACGGTAAGCAAGACATGGATCAAAATGCATGTAACAACTGTGGTGTTTATTGGTTTTATTGCTCAAGTTCTTAAATATTTTTCAGTTTGCCTGTTGTGCTTAGAGATTTATATTTTCCTCTGAATTTTCCTCATTTGAACTCATCATTAATTTGCAAAGCTAATAGGACTGTACTTGGATTGATCAACAACAGATTTTTACAGCTGGAATTTTGGCCTTAATTTGGTTAGGTTCAAATCAGGATGATATAAATTGAACATAGGCAATTGGTTCGAAGTAGAAATTATCTGTTCATGCTTGAGAAAAGTTTGAATTAGGCAAAATCTGTATTAGCCGAGTTGAAAATAACAAGGTTCTACTGTACAGTACTGTACTTTCCATCTTGAATATTTTTTTCACTGAACCTACTGTATCAGTTTTTGAATTGTATAAATGTAAATTAAATAAACCATAATTTATTAAAAACCTGAGACAATTCCCAAGGATTCCCATAAAAAATCTCGCCTGCAATTGATGAGTGATGAGGTTTCTTCAGTCGAGATTTCTTCTTGCCCAGAGGGGTCTTGGGCAAGAGAGTTGGATCAGGGGAGGAAAACAACTGACGGGCATTAGCGGTTACCTCTTCTAAACACAAGAAATGTTCCTGAATAAAAGAAAAAGAAGAATCCCTATATATATATATATATATATATATATATATATATATATATATATATATATATATATATATATATATATATATATATATATATATATATATATATATATATATATATATATATATATATACAGTATATATATATACATAAACATATATATATATATATATATATATATGCTGATAACCACAAGGAAAGAAGAAAACACGAAGTTCCCAAGCGCTTTCGTGTAATTCACATCTTCAGGGGTGAGTACAGACTAGAGAGAGTAATACAAATCAAGGTGTATATATACAGAGGAGGGTGAGACCAGGTCCACAATGGTCAGGTATGAGGTAATGACCCTACTAATCTTTAAATAGCACACAACGGTTGGTGGTCAGGTCAGATGGTCAA